GAAGCTCCGCTTCTATTGTGAAAGATATTCAACATTTCTTGTGCATATACATAACTCCGGCTACGCCATCCACAGTGTTTTGCGCAGAACTAACATCAAAATTTACGAAAAACTGCATAATTTATTAATATACTAGTACTCAGAAATTTGAAATCTTTATTTTAAATTAAAGTTTAGTTCTTTCACTACACGCGTATGTTAAAGTTTTTAAATCGGGTCACGCGTTTGGACACAAATACCCAAAATCATTGTACAAATAACTTAACTGTACCGAATTGCTTAAACTAGTTGCGTTCCAGATGCTTCACGATTTGCGGGTTTTTACAGGAAGTTGTTCCACGGGGCCACCTTCCATAAGGTTTATTAATGGCGAAAACAGCTTTTCCTGCAAATCGTGAAGCATCTGGAACGCAACTGCTATTCATAAAATTCACATATGTATGTACATACACTTCATCTTCCAACTCCAAGGGATTCGACGAATCTCGCAATTTCCTTCTTGCTTTAGCCAACTCTACTAATCTATTGCCTTCCACATCATCTTCCTCATCACTAAACCATATTTCAACTGTATCCATTTTTTTAAATTTATAATAAAGCAATTGTTTTAAAAATGATATAAATGAAACAATAAAGAAACAAATGTAAAACAAACAGCTGTTTACAATTTGGTCAACCATTCACAATAGTACAAATTTTTATCGATCAAGTTACACAATAGCAAAATAAAAGATGATCGACTCGATCGACAAATTTCTATTCTACTGCCAGTCGACACTCGCAATAGGGGTGTATGATTACGACACATTCACATCTGTTTGAGGAGGTACTTCGTAAGATTGCGACATCACAGATACCATCAACTGGACTAGCAAGNAGGCAAAGCACCAAATTTAGAACAAATGGCTGAGGTTCTTCTAATTGCTGCTGATAAGTATGCGCTCGAAAAACTGAAAGTGATATGCGAAGAGGCTATCTGTCGTAACCTCTCCGTAGAAAATGCATTGGAAGCTTTAGTATTAGCCGACCTACATAGTGCGCATCAATTGAAAGCACAAGCCATGGATTTCATAAATAGTCATGCCACTGATGTGCTGGCAACATCCCGCTGGCAAAGTATGATTACGACACATTCACATCTGTTTGAGGAGGTACTTCGTAAGATTGCGAAATCACAGATACCATCAACTGGACTAGCAAGCAAGCGTGAAATTAACTGAAAACACGTCACGACAAATCGATACACATCTGAACATGTATGCATAATATTGGCTTTATCTATTAATCGAATATCAAGAGCTCTATTAAATATCACAGCGCACGGCAGTGCGCGCGAGTGACGAAAGCAGCAACAGTAGCATGCTGAAATGACTCGCTTATATATACACGAGATTTGGAAGTTTTTATCCAGACGTCCAATCGACTTGTTGGAAAGGTGTTGCAGAGTGTGTCCAGAAAATATATTCAAGCTTCGTAAACGATTAACCGGATTCTTAAAAATTAGGCTNTTTGCTTTTGCCGGTTTAAGGGGGCATGTGGGCACACCCAACATATTTACTGTTATTCTATAGGCCAATACCTTTCAAACGATACCTTATTTATTAAGTTTCGGCTACAAGTTGGAAAGATATAGAGGTAAATGTGTTTTGGTTCGTGTC